GTTGTTAAATTGTTGGTATGTTAAGTTAGTGCTTGAGTTTGAAGAGACAAGGCAACTAGGGGATAAAAGTCAACCTTTCAAGGCTACACTTTGACCAACGTGATTTTGACCAATTGGGTGAGTTAGATCACAAACTTTTACAGGAAAATAGATCTCATTTTTCTCTTTAAAATGAGTGGTACCACCCCGAAATGAACATTTGTACAAGAAGTTATGCTTATCCAAATTTAGGCAAAGATACTAGAAAATGAGAAAATAACCAAATGGATAGTACTTTTTGGAAATAAAATTGGGCTCGAATTTGAGGATAATTCATCCAGAAACTATTTTTCTTTAAAAGATAATCTAAAGAGCTTCCATTAGAAATTAGAATCACTTAATTTTGATTTTTCTAGAATTAATTATGATTTTTTAAAGTTTGGTCAAAATAGAAGTGTTGTAAATAGTAACCCAGAACAAAATTTTTTAAAGTTAAATTTTTAAAATTTTTGGCCATCAAATGTGATTCCATTTGCTTCTATTTGGTTAGTTATTTGGTATAAATTAAAAGTGTTACACAAGAGTTATTAATTACATAAAAGGTTATAAGGAAAAAGTTAGCATAAGCTCTACAGAAGGTGATGACAAAAGAAGCCCCACTACTAGTAACAGAAAAACAATGCCCACCAAAATGCTTATAAGTTAAAATATTCTCTATTATTGTCTCTGTATATTCATAAAGGAAAAGTAGTTTTTTGTCAACATAAAGGAAAACCAGTTAAACAGATAATGAGAGTTGAACAACAGCAAAATGTTGGTTGCCGATTGTTAATTAAGAACTTGCAATGCTTGTTGTTTTTTATAATATTGTTTGCATTTTTATAAAAGAGAAAAAAGAGTATAAAGATTTCGTATATAAAATCCTATCCATCTAGTTGCCTTAATTAACAAGATGAATAAATTAGTGTCATTTAGCATATGTAGTCGAAATATTGCCTCATCTCATAATTATGAGTTGTGCTTGTGCATTCTTATAACAGTGAACCTCGCTAATGCTTTATACTGTTCGGTTGCTTGAAATATTGGAACTGTATTTTTGCAATATTTAGTTGTTAAGGACTTCAGGAGAACACATGATTAGGTTCCCAAGAAACAGAGTTACTTTTGGTCCACATCCACCACATCATTATTCTTAAGTCTAAAAGTTAGAGCTGAACAATTGAAAGAATCAAAGAAAATAAACTTACAACGAGGAAGAAAGAAGATGAAGCTAGGAGAATGGAACGAGGAGTGAGGTGAGCTATGAATACCCTTGTGTCACATCCAGTAATATGACATTTATGAATAGGGATGTTTCTAAATAATTAAGGGTAAAAAATGACCAGGAGAAATAGAAAAATTTTGGTGGAAAATAATTATTATAGTTTTCCAAGCCAATTATGAAAAGTTTGATTAATCAAGGAAAATTGGTCAAGAATAATTATGGAAAAATATTTTCAAGCCTCAGAAAATTAAGAAAAAATAAAGATGATATTCCTTGAGAATTATATGGGATTATAAAATTGGTTTTATGACCAAATTGCTCTTAGAGAAATTACAAAGGAATTTAAGGGCGATTTAAGCTAGTTTAATGTCCTTTATTTGGAAAATTCCAAATAAATACTTTTAAGAAGGATAAAATCCCAAGAAAATTTTTATGATATCCCAAGAAATTATAAGAGATTATGGAATTAAAAGAAGACCTTCAAGTATCCAAGATTTTTCCCAATTCCTTTGAAAAGTGGAAAAATCAATAAAGAGAAGGAAATTAGTTTTCCCTTTAATTTAATTATTGGGAAATTAAATTAGAGACAAAGAGGGCAATTTGGAAAGATAAAAATGAGGAGAATAATTTATAGATCTAACAGAAAATAATTGCAGAGGCCAGAGCACTGTAATTATAGAAAAGAAGTTAAACCCGGAGTAAAAGTGCACCGATAAAGTGAAGACTAGAGTCTTGCACTTTACTTGGCCTACAAGTTGTCACTTGTCAAGCCTCTAATAGATGGTAATTAAAGCTTTCCAAGTGTCAAGCCTCCAATAGAGAGGATCTTGACTTTGGAATTTAATTACATTATAATTTACTTAATTAAGAGAGAGGTTTCAAGACTAAGTAGGAGGGTGACACTTGGCAACTCATTCATGATGGTGGTTGGGATATTTTGGTGCCTTAATTGAGCTTTTCCTCCCCCATAATCAGATCACCATTCGGCCAAGGCAAGAAGAGAGGGAAAAAGAGAGAACTTGAAGGGAAATCAAGAGAAAAGCAAGCTACTTTGATCTTCCAACTAAGATTCAAGCTTGGTAAGTTGTTCTAAGATGTTCCTTGCTTTGTTTTATTGATTTGTATGGTTGGAAAAATCAGCTCTGGTCCCTTCTTGTTGCTGGCCGAAATGGGTATAGTGTAGGGAAGGAGGTTTTGTTGTTAAACATAGTTAGGATACTATGAATCAAGGTGGTTTCAAGTGGTTTAGTGTTGTTTTGAAAGGGTTTCATGGTTGAACTCCAAGAGGTATGGTTCGGCCAAGACCTAAACTGAATCTTAGGATTTGTTTTTCAAAATTTTGTGACTTCCATTGTGTTTAAAATGGAAAATAGTGTAGGGTAAACCTAAAGAATAAGTATTAGAAGCCATAAAATCAAAGTTGTAATTTTTGGATAATGAACTCTTTTGGTTCGGCCAAGCTGAAACTGGAAGAAGGGATTTTATTTTGTTAAATCCAAGTAGATAATTGAAATCTACATGAAAAATCATGTAGGAGTGAGTTAAGAGGAATTTTTAGGGTTAAGGAAACAAACTCTAAAATGTAAAGAACAAAGGTGGGAAGCTTTAAGGGATAAAAATTGTCCTTGAGTTATGTTGTTGATTTTTATGTGAAATGGTTGATGATTCTTGCTGTCCCTTTTGTGGATTGCCATGTTAGGGTTTGGCATTTGTGGAAGCAAGAAAGAAGAACAAGAAAATCAAAGAGCATTGGATCAAGGTAGTAAGATTTAATTGACCTTAATGTTGAGTGTTGCATTGATTGCTATGCAATTTCACGTGCCATTATGTGGTTGAGCGAAATGATGATGAAGATGATGATGATTGTGTAGCTATACTCCTTGCTTTATGTGCCTTGGCTATTGCATGTTAGAGTGCTATATGTATGAGGTAAAGTAGTTCCCTATTAATAGCAAAAGGTTGGAATGCTTGTGTAGTTATACTCCATTTTGATTTTTCTAGATTAAGTTATGAATTTTTTAAGTTAGGCCAGAAAATTGGATTTTTACCCAATGAAACAGTAAAAATCCGAAAATTAGCATTTTTCATGGATTTTTGAGCCCAAGACCATCCAAGGTGGTCTAAAATGGTTTTAATTAAATCCTAAGTGGATCTGATAGTAAGGTGTGACACCTTGCAATGGAGAACTCACGAAGCAAGCAGAAAGCGACAATGACAAAAGGAGAGAACACTATAAGCTTGAAAGCTAAAGCTCAAAAGCAGAATAATGGAGGTGATGAGGCCAGTACCACGAAGGTGTGATTCAAATGGAAATGGTGTGACTGGGGGAAATCAGAGCACCAAGTTTGATTCGAGAAGCAAGGGCCTGTATTGGTGTGGAAGGGAACAACTTTAGAGCACCAAGTTCTCCATTTTTTAGATTCTTGCTCGATTAAGGACCTTGCATAGAGAAGGGAGGCCTATCACAGAAAGGGAGCAAGGAGATACTAGGTTAAGGCAGAGAAGAGAAAGGTGAAAGAGAAATAAGTGATAAAATTTAGGGCTTGTTTGGTATGAGGGGAGAGGAGGGAAGGGGAATTGGTTTAATGGAGAAGAAGGGAAGTGAGGTTTCATGCTTGGTTTAGAAGGAGAAGGGCCAGAGGGAAGCTAATTATAAGTTAACAAATATACATTTTATGTTTTTTATAATGTTTGTGTCATAATTATTATTTTTTAAGTTTTTAAATCTCAAGAACTAGTTATTTCACTTATGTATAAAATGCTTTTATACGTACTACCTCCGGTTCTTAATATAAGACCCTATTTGACTTTTATTTTGGTAATAAATATAAGACCCCAATCCACTTTGTCTCTCATATTTATATATTTTTTTCCAAAGTAACATTTCTAACAATGATAGTTCTAGTTAATATACTTGATGAACAAGGATATTTTAGGAAAGACAACGCCTATTTAGGACAAATAACTAACTCAACTTACTTTCTTAATCTCTTTAAATTAGTCAACTGGCTCTTATAATTAGGATCGGAGGTAGTATTTTAAAAGATGATTTTATTAATTTTAACATTCTATTTTTAAAAATATTTTACTTCTCAAAATATGACAAAGTTAATAAATTGAGTTAGAGAAAGAGAGAGATAAGACATGTTTTTCTTTATAAAGCTCGTAATTCAGTGTCAACAACTTTTTCAGTAGTTGCGTTGAGAAGTTGTTTTAAACAATTAGGGCTCAAATTTTATATAAATATATGTTTGGGTTAGAAGTTAAACAATAGATTTTGGACAAAAATTAATTTTCTTGAATTATGATTTATAAAATTAATTATAAAATTGGCAACACATAATCTAATAAAATAGAGTTACTAAAAAACAAATTTGACAAATTATTTTTTTTTCATTTTATGTTTTTAACTCAAAATATACGACATTTTTAGTAAAAGGAGGAAAAAATGCAAAGTTCAATCTAACTGATTTATTCGTAACTTTTAATTGGATTGACCAAAAACTAGTTTATAGGCTATTGTTATGGTCATACTCTGGTTAAAGTTTAATAACATACATATAATTAACTAATTTATCTTATTTTCTTAATCTTTTTTCTGCTAACATCTTATTTTCTTAATATAATTAAATTAATTAAGTATGTATTATATTAAACACACGAGAGACTATAACTGAAAATTAAAAAGGTTGTAAACATTTGGCAACTTAATGATTGATCATGACACATGGCGAAGACGCTGAGCTGGTGGATGTTGATGCTGCATAAGAAATGCACGCGCTAATATCTGAGCCAATTTCTTTTAAACTAGAAAACTTCACTAAACATGTGAGACCGTTTATTTCCCTTACATTTCGCCTCCTCTTTCTCTTCTCTCTGTCTCATTCATCTGCAAGTTTTCCCTATTCCCTTATTCGCTGAATTTTCTTTTTTGCTTAGAAATTGAGACTCCACACACTTGATGCAAATTTCAATAACTCTATTGCAAAATTTAAGGTAAATTGTTCAATTTCTTTGAGGATTTTAAGAAATTTCTTCATTTGGCTAATTTTTCATTTGAGTTGTTGGAGAATTTGATGAGAAGTCGAAGTCGAAAACCATATGCATCTATGAAGACTGGGGCACGAAAGTCGCCGCCGCCACACCACCTGATGCAGTTGCCGCTTGAGCTTCGTCTTTGGCGATTTGCTTACGGTTTTTTCAGATGGAATGGCAGATCTTGCTAGCTTTGGGAATTCTGAGCGTGACATTGAGCAAGTCAGTTTCTATCAAAATTTCCTCCTCTTCATCTTTGTTATCCTAATCCTCATAAATTATTTGATTTAGGTGTTGGAAGTGATGGGAATCTTGATGTTGTTTGGGCAAGATAATGCACACCGAGTTTTGTTTGGGGAAAAGACACATTATAGATTATTGTCTTCAAATGCTTTGTGATTGTGGCTTCATCTGTAAACCCGTCTAAGTCCTTTTTATTAAAAATAGTCATAGTAATTGTGCATTTATTTTAACTCATTCATCACTTTAAAAACTAAAAATATTATTTGTATAATGGCAACAATGACCGTTGGTGTTAGTTCTCATGAAGTTTTTTTTATTTCCTTAACTAAAAGAACCTGCATTAAAGATAACAATGCCGTTGCCCAATTTTGTTCGTTTGCTTACCCCTAACCTTTTCATCAATACAAAATCGTAGTCATGATACTATTATGACCATTATAAATTGGAAAAAAAAAATTTATTGGAGTACTTGGGTCAGAAGTGGAAGAAAGTAGTGAAGATACTAATGCAGTTAGAACTATATATGTGTTATGTATAAAACATGAATCATTTTAAGTTACTTTGTATCAATTGCTTATATTCTATGAGCTACATAATGAATATATGTTTTGAAGCTATGTTGAGTTTCTGTGCATAAGAAGCAAAAAGACAACAAAAAAAACTAACTTTTTGGAAATTAGCTTGATCATATATAATATCAATATTAGCTAGATTATATTCAATTACAGAAAAAATATCGACAAATATCTTTGCATGGCCATTCAAAAATGATTCAAGAAACTCCATTGGATGATGTTTCCTAGTAAATTTGTTTCCTCCTTAAATACAAGAGCTTGGTTTAGTGAGGATATTATATTTTGCAAAATATCAGATTTTATAAGGGCTTCATATAATCACATTGTATTTTCATTTCAGGCACTGGTAGCTTTAAAAAAAGGCTCTCAATTACTTAAGTATAATCGGAAAGGGAAGCCAAAATTTCGTCCCTTCAGACTCTCACCTGTAAGTTCTTACTTATACATTGAAATAACTTCTGGCAATAAAGGTTCATATACACGCGCACACATGAATATATTGTTACCTCTAGAGTTTGTGTGTATAGATAAATAAAGTTTATAGCTTTAACAGGATGCTACAACATTGATTTGGATTTCTCATGGAAGGGAAAAAAATCTGAAGTTATCTTCTGTTTCACGTATCATCCCTGGACAAAGAACTGTAAGTTAATAATCTCAATTTTCTATTAGTCTAATTGGTGTAATGATGTGCCTGGCTTGTAATGACTATAATTTGTAATAGGGGAAAAGAGGAATTGAAAAAAAAGGTGCAACATCTTATTCAACCAATACAACTCTATTTTATAGAAGGGGATAAAAGAAATTGCGAGTTGGAATACCTAAATCTGACACATGATAATTGTTAGGTAGTATGCTGCCATAAAGAGAAGGATATTTCTTGGGATGTTGGTAGTAATTTGATGAAGGAAATCGATATAGAATCCAACATCTCAAATGTTAGATCCTATTGTACATTTTCTTGCATTTTTCCTATTGCAACAGGCTCTACTCCCCCCGGTTTTTTTGCTAAATTAAATTATGTATTTGCAAGGCTACCTATTTCTACTTATTGGTAAGAACACATCTATCATTTTATATAATTAAATTATATTAGAGTAGGAGGATTCTATATATCTGTAGAATGTCTAATTTTTCTTTTAAATATATAACTATCCCTTTCAGGCTGTATTTAGAAGGCACTTGCGCCCAGAAAAGGATTATCTATCATTTTCACTTGTTTATAAAAATGGGGAACGGACACTTGATCTGGTTAGAAAATTTAGTAACTACTCATATTTGATAAATAAGTCATTATAATGGAAAATCTAAATCTAGTTTCTCTCTCTTTTTATTTTGATAGATTTGCAAGGACAAAGCTGAGGTAGAGATATGGTTTGGAGGTCTGAAGGCATTAACTTCTCCTAGACAACACACCCTACGTTCTAAAAGTAACTTATATGATGTGAGTTTGAATTGATATCTTTTAAATGATCATTTAATTCTTAACTCGTGTTCCAAATTAAGGTTTGGTTTGGTAAGTAGGAATCTAACCCATATTATTGATTTATTCATTTTTTGCATAGTGACTACTCTTTATGTGTATACTTGAGAGACTTTTACTTAAGTAGTGTCTTTGATTTCAGCTACAAGATGGTGTAGACTTTTTCCCAATTAGTCGTCCTTTTGGTGTATTAGAGTTTACTTCAAGCATTGCACGTGGCAGGGACTCTACAGATTCTCTATTGCATTGGCCAACCTCAGATGTGGCAACCGAGTGTTCAAATATGCAACAAAGGACAAGTACTTCAGATGGCTTTCGTATTAGTGTGTCAAGCACACCTAGTTGTTCTAGCGGAGGATCAGGGCCAGATGACATAGAGTCACTGGGTGATGTTTATATATGGGGAGAGGTTTGGACTGATGGGGCTTCACCTAATACATTAGGTTGTCAAGTTGCTTTGATGACAGATGTGCTGGTTCCTAAACCATTAGAGTCAAATGTTGTCCTTGATGTTCAACAGATTGCATCTGGTGTGCGTCACATTGCTCTGGTTACTAGGCAAGGAGAGGTTTTTTCTTGGGGTGAGGAATATGGGGGAAGACTTGGTCATGGGATTGATAAAGATTTCTACCATCCCCATCTTGTTGAGTTCCTCTCTGTTCAAAATGTTGATTTTATTGCATGTGGAGAGTATCACACCTGTGCTATTTCTACATCAGGTGATCTATTCACATGGGGAGATGGTGCTCATAATGCTGGGCTTCTTGGTCATGGTAGTGATGTTAGTCATTGGATCCCGAAAAGGGTTACTGGCCCTTTGGAAGGTCTTCAAGTTTTATCCATAGCATGTGGTGCATGGCATTCTGCATTGGCAACCTCTAATGGGAAATTGTTTACCTTTGGTGATGGAACATTTGGTGTCTTGGGCCATGGAGACAGGAAGAATGTGTCATATCCAAAGGAAGTACAATCATTGAGTGGACTAAAGACTATTAAGGTTGCTTGTGGAGTATGGCACACTGCAGCTATTATAGAGGTTATGGGTCATCAAGGTTCTAATATTTTATCCAAGAAGCTCTTTACTTGGGGTGATGGTGACAAGTATCGTTTGGGTCATGGAAACAAGGAAACCTACCTTCAACCTACTTGTGTCTCTGCACTAATTGATTATAATTTTCACCAGATAGCCTGTGGGCACACTTTGACTGTTGCCTTAGATACATCAGGTTTTGTATTTACTATGGGTAGCACTATATATGGTCAATTAGGAAATCCTTTGTCTGATGGAAAAATGCCTACAAAGGTTCAAGATAAGTTGGTTGGTGAATTTGTTGAGGAAATATCATGTGGAGCACATCATGTTGCTGTCTTGACATCAAGAAGTGAATTATATACCTGGGGGAGGGGAGCAAATGGAAGATTAGGGCATGGAGACATAGAAAACAGAAAATCACCAACACTAGTTGAAGGTTTGAAGGATAGGCATGTCAAAAATATCTCTTGTGGCTCAAATTTTACATCCTGCATATGCATCCATAAATGGGTTTCTGGATCTGATCAATCTGTTTGTTCTGGTTGTCGGCAAGCATTTGGTTTTACTAGAAAAAGGCATAACTGTTATAATTGTGGGTTGGTACATTGTCATGCTTGTAGCTCTAAGAAGGCTCTAAGAGCAGCATTAGCACCAACACCAGGAAAACCGCATCGTGTGTGTGATGCTTGTTATAGTAAGCTTAAAGCTACTGAGATTGGGAGTGCTTCTACTTCTAATAGGAAACCTACTCCTCCTCGTCAATCCTTAGATGGCAGGGAAAGATTAGATCGGGGAGAAGTAAGGTCTTCAAGAATTCTCATGTCTTCTATCACTGAGCCAGTAAAATTCCTTGAGATATGGGGAAATAAGATTGAATCTAGACATGATTTTTCTTCTATAGCCCAAACTCCTCAATCAATTTTAGAATTCAAAGATGTTGCATTTCCATGTTCATTGAGGCCCATTCATAATACTTTCAAGCCTACTTCTGTAACTTCGAGTCCACCAAGAACTCCCCCAGCCAATTTAAGACCTGCATCACCATATATAAGACGACCAAGCCCATCGCGTTCTTCCACCCTTGGGTTTTCTAGAAGCATGATTGAAAATTTGAGGAAATCAAATGAGCTTATAAACCAAGAACTCTCCAAATTACAAAATCAAGTAAGTTCTTATACCTTTTCAATTTAGTGGATTTTGTTCTTTGAGGAATATAACATGCCCTATTGACAACTAAAATGAACATTAATTTTCTTGAACATAGATTCGAAGCTTGAAGCAGAAGAATGACATGCAAGACATGGAGATTCACAAGCTGAAGAAAAATGTTAAGGAAGCTACCTTGTTGACTACTGAGGAATCTTCTAAGCATAGGCTGGCTAGGGAGTTTATTAAGAGCATGACAGATCAGGTACTTTTATTCAATCTATATTCTCACAGCATAATCCAATTTATCTTTTATATATTAAACTTTTATTAAATATTAATAAAATTTTTCTGTCATAGCTATTCGTGGAAATATCAAGTCAGTTTTTGTACAAGCAAAGTGATGAATTTTTGAAAATAGCTAATAATTTTTTTTGGCTAATTTTTTCTCTCCAAATTTTGCTGGACTTAAAAGCATATTTTCAATGGAATTAAATTTGGCTATGAAACATCTATCATTTCACTTTATTATATACGCATTTGGAAGTGCTACGATTCAAGGGAATCATGAATTAAATCCATAGATTGAAAACTTATATTTTCTAATCATAATGTCATGCAATGTGGTTTCATTTGCCATCATTTGGTCACTTATATGGTTAGAAATTAAGGTGCTATATCTTTTGTTACTTTTTTATTCTCGGCTTACTATTTATTTGGTAAATTTCATATTTTTTTTGTTTAACTTTGAAAATTCATAACTAATTATAGAAAAATTATATTGAGGGGATTCAAGTCTTTGTTTAAAGCTCTTTAATTTTATATAGAAGAAAAATACTCATTAGGCCATTTACTTGTGTATTCATCTCAGAAAAACACATGAAAATATACTATTCATATAGTCAAAATAGTATTTCATAGCTTCTTTGCCCTAATTTTGAGCAATCATAACTTCTAGCACATATATCCATTTAAAATGATCTACTACTTGTTTTAAATCTTAGGATGTATTCTATTTAGTTGTAAAATTTCATGGGCGAATCATTTGTTTTACTTTTTCTTTATCTCAATTTTGTCACTTTATGTTGGAAAGTTTATCTCCTTACTTTGAATTAGTATGCTATAAACAAACATTATTTTGCCTGCAATCATTCCAGCATCCTATTAATCATTCTCATGCATTATCATACTTAATTTTATATGCCATCATCATCATTCATTATTAAGTAATATCAATAGGCATGTTCTTGAACAAATCAACATAAAGGAGAAATATTGTATTACAAATCACAAACATATTTCTCAAATTCTTCTCTTCTTTCTTTGATCCTCATCTTGCATTCCTCTTTCATAAGCATAATATCTATTATGGTTGGTTAAGAGAGTGTGAGACTCAAGAGAATCTCAATAGCAAAGAACAATAACAATAATGCCAACAATGCAAGGTTCTTACATAGTATACATTAACTAGCACACATCTATACCATAAAGAAAACTCATTCATGCATATTGTCAAGGCACTAAATACAACGGGTTTAGCACATATCATCTTCTTTATCAATAGCTCAACCATATTATGGCATAGAACATATAACAAACAACCAATGCAGGTTAACATTAAAGTTAGATGCTCTTGCTATCTTGTTCTAACTCTTGATTCTTGCTTCTTCTCCCTTGGATTGGAAGTTTTTCTTGCCAATGCTTAACTCCTATTCATCACATAATAAGGGCATTCTAAGTATCAATTCAAAAAACTTCAATAACTCAACTTAAACCCTTAACCCTTATCTTTGATTTTTAGGGTTTTAGTGTCATCTTTTTTAACATAACTTTTGGCTCATAATCATCCTCACTTTTCATACTCTGCCCTCGAGACTTTATCGAAGTCTCTATCTTCCTCGTTAGAAAACTTTCACTTTGTAATTTGGTCCCTGACAATCTTTCTATCCTTTCAGGGAATTTCTGGGAGTCCTGCCAAAAGGGTTTCGATGGCCTGCCCATTACAAGCAATTTTTTATACTTCTAAACCCAAAATTTGGGATGTTATAGGCTAATAGCCTACTTTTGTTTTGCACTTGGGTATATTTTGTTGAAGCTTTCTTTTTTTAAGAAAATTAGATTTGCTATTTTAGCCACACACTTCTCTTTTAGATTGCTTGGAGTTGAAATGCTCCCTTTTTTGCCAAGAGCTTTTAAGTGTGAGCTGCATGTGCACTTCATTCCAATAACATATGAGTAGTACATAAAGTATTCAATGGAATGAAGAACATAAATTACTAGATTTTCATAGGTCTATGGGGAAAACAATACCATGAATCTCATGTTCATATTAAAAAAGTTACAAACAATTCTTAGAGATGAAAAATTGATAATTTGCTGCATTAGTAAACTTTGCAACTCTTATGATTGCTTATTGGCAAAAAGAGTTATTTTCATTGCTCATACATATTTTTTCAAATAAAATTAGGTAAACCGAAAATAATGAAATATTTAATGATGGAAAACTTCTCTAAACAATCTACATCACTTAGTTAAGGCCTCAAGTAAGGTAGGTTTAGTTTATGTGCAAAATTGTAGATGGCACTTAGTATTACTCAAAATTCAGAAAGGCAAGTTTTTAGTAGATTGGAAACAAAATGCTAGGGCTGCCTTAACTAATGGCGTGTAGATGGTAAGACACCTTCTTCTATGAGAAATATCTGGTATGTAGTATTAGTTAGATTTGAGTCATGTTAAACTCCAATGAGAGTAAACGTTTTCAACAAAATTTTCCCTTAATTTAGAGGACTTGAACTGTAGACCATACTGGATATTCAGTCTCTTGTTTGTTTAAATCACTATTGGTGTCTCCTATAATTACTTTTTGTGCATGTATGATTATATGAAAATGAGAAATTAAATTATTTGTATGTTGGCAAGATATAAAGAAATCATAAATAACAATAAATGAATGCATGAAATTGGTTGCTAGTTGAAGTAAAATTTTTATTCTTGGGCAATGTTTTAAGTATGATTGTAAATATTAATTAATAAGAACGTTATATGTGTGTGTATGTCAACAGACACTTAAATCTCATGTTGATTTAGATAGTTATTGTTTATGACCTAAAACAAATTTATTTGGATTTTACTTGTGAAATTTGTGTGTTTAGAAGGCTTGAAACTATTGGGAACATACAAATGTTTTTTGTTTAAATTAAATTTTCTCCCCCATAACTACTAGATGGGTTAACAGCATTGTGTGGAACATGCTAGTTATGGAAGCCTATGAAGAAAAGATACCTGATATTCTAGAATGCTATTATGTTTGGTTTTTCTAGTTGGAAGAGGTGACACAACATTTGCCACCTGATAGTCCAGACAGTGAAACGTTGAGAAGTATCCATGCTCAAGCTGAAGATTTTCTAAGAGAAAATATAGAATCTGAAGCATCATGTTCCATACTTTCAAACTTAGAGTCTAATCAAGAAACTGGATATGACACGCCAGCTTTAGATATCAATGGTTCTAAATTGCAAGAACATAAAATTATTGATCCTGTTGGAGTTGAACCATCTCAAGATTCAGGAAGTTCTCTTCAAGAAAGTAATAGATCATCTGTATCTAGTATAGAGGCAGCAACAACTCCACAAAGCTTAGAAAATGGTTCACAATCACCAGACTCTATGAAACAAGGGAGAGAAACAGAATCACAGGTCATCGAACAATTTGAATCTGGTGTTTATGTGACGCTGGTAATACGGCCAAGTGGTAGAAAGGCTTTCAAACGAGTTAGATTCAGGTGCAAGCTCATTTCTTTACTCCTTATATTCCGTATTTCCAATATATATTCCATATATTTTTCAATTTAATTGAATTTGTACTATATATCTGTCTCTCTGTGTATGGCCAAGTGTATATTCCCCTATGCAAAAAGTTTTTATGTGAAGAATGAGGAACATTATTCAATTTTTGTAAATAATGCTGCTTGTTACTTTTATATATTATAGTTTATTTTGATACTTATTTGTCTTTTTTTTTTTTTTTAATGCAGTAAGCGAAAGTTCGATGCACAGCAGGCAGAAGAATGGTGGAATAAAAACAAAGATATGGTGTTTAGAAAGTATAGTTCACCAGCAACAAATCCTGCAGCTCGTGGGTCATCATCTAATACGCAACCATTAGTTGAAGACAACTCTGAAACTTCTTGAACTTAGTTTTCTTTTCCTAGTCTATCTAGTCATTAGATAATATAGGATAGTCGCATACCAATCAACCAAATGTAAAGAAAACATATTTAGACAACTAATTTAATTTGAAGAGAGGAGTCTAACAGCAAAATATGCATGAATGTAACTTTGTGCTACAGAGAACATAATTGTAATATGACACAAATTTGATTTAGATGTAGAAAAATTGCTTACCTTTTGAAGTCGATATGCTTATTATCTTAATCTTGTTAGAGATTATTAGTTTTCATAGGCACGAAGCTTATGTATCAAATATTAGAACAAAAAGTTTACATCACATATTATATTGACCTTTCATTCAACCTGCGTATAACCTACAATTTATAGCCGGGTTACATTGTGCTAAGTTGCAGTTACTCTGCAGTTCGTGTTTTTAAATAGCATGACCTTTTCTGTTATTTTTGTTATATCTTACAAACCACGAATCTTTTTGATATGAAATTTGTTTTATATGAAAATGGACTCAAAACATGATTTTATGACATATTTCAGTATCAAATGGTTTCATTAGAAAGAGATATGTTTTTCAAAATCTTATGCTTTGATTTTACATGTAGAAAGAGACTCTCTAACATTTGTTCATTGTTTTGAAATGGGTCTTGTTGAATTTGAAACAAGACTGAAAAAGCTTTCCAGTAATAGGTCATTTGTCAATTGAGAGAGTTGTATCCGTCCAAAATTGACTAATCCTTGTTAAACTTGCAAGTTATATGTCCTTTATGAACTATGACTCAAATTGTATTGGATTCATTAAGGAAACTTGCATCAAACTCAATCAACTCAAGTCATAGTCTCTCTGTCTTTTTTTTTTTTGCTAAAACTTCTTTCAAACCCTAGGGTTAGTCATGAATCACATATTCTTAAACTGACATAACACCAACTGCACATAGGTGCAACTAGAAAAATCCATAGCCTTCATGTTACATACAAGTCAAGTTTTCTCTAAACTCCAGATACTCAAATGTCTTTCTCTAAACTAGAGCTAGAAATATATTTGTAAATTTTGTTAAGGTACACCTAACACCCAGAATTATTTTTCAATGTGCATCCAGTATGCTATTTAGTGGTGCAATTTTACCCCTGAGATATTAAATATTGAGCAATCCCCACTCTCATGCTAATAAACCTTTTATGTAGAAAAGAAAACAAAGCTTCCATCTCCCATCTTAGTTGCCAATGATAGTACCCAAGAGTGGATGGATACAAAGTAATGGAATTTGATGTTGCGTGTGAATTTTGGGTCAACGATAAAGATCCAGTGACTAAAAGGGACCTATCAAGAAGTAAGATACTCAAGAGCTACTGCTTAGTTTATTTTTAGTTATTTTCTGTCTTATTTATTTAAGATTTTTTTTTTTTTTACGATTCGAGGATTTTCAAATTAATCTTTTGGGTTATCCATTAGATATATTATTTTAGAAATTTTAGTTGCCGAATTGGAATCTAAAGGATATTATTATTATACTTTTGATTTAAATTTGAATAGATGGCAATCTTATCCTTAGAATAATTTTAGATTTTTAGAGTAATTTTAATATTTAGAGTCTCATTAGAGTTATGAATTTTATCTATTTAAAGAGTTAAATGTATTCAATTATTTTCAAGTTAATAATGAGAATTTTCTTTGACAAGTATTGACTTGTGTTTTTGTATTCGAGATAGAATACTATTAGGTTGCAATAGTCTAATAAACTCTTTGTAGGGTGTAACAACAATTTTCTTAACCTTGATTACTTACCTAAATTATCCATTTTTAAACACTATTATGGGAGAAAAGAAAAAAATGTTATACAAATCCTATCATAGTAAGAAAAGTTACAACTTAACTTCAAAAGCTAACCAAAGTAGAAAAGAGTTCAACTAACTATTTGAAAGCACTGTCCAAGATAATCACGATAGGTAGATAAAACTTAACTTCAAAGTGCCTATCATGATTAAAAAAAAAAAACTCCTTCTTAATTCATAATAGAAAAGAAAGAAACTAATATTCAAAAGCTATCATGAATAACAAAATTTTTCTAAATCGCGTATGAACCCATGATAGACAGGACACAACCCGTCTGACTTGATTATAAAAATAAACCCCTATTTAACCTTATAACATACCAAATGGGCCTTCAGTATCTCAAAACTTAGGGATATCAATTCACTAGCAAGCCCAATTAAATCCTTTCTATAACACCTTCACTTTTTCCCAAGTAACCAACCAAATAAAAGCAAATAGAATCACATTTTATGGCCAAAGGTATGAAAAACGTAACTTTGCAAAATCTTGTTCTCAGGTTACTATTCACAATAACCTATAATTTAGCTAATTTTAAAAATTCATAATTAATCTAGAAAATTTGAAATTGAGTGATCCTGAGTTCTATTAGAATCTCTTTGGATTATCTTTTGAGAAAAAATAAGTACTAGTCAATTTGCCTTCAGATTTGGGCCCAGTTTAATTTCCAAAAGTTATTGTTCATTTGGTCATTTCTAATTTTTCTGTATTTTTGCTAAACTTTGGAATGACATAACTTCTTGTATAAATATTCGGTTGAGACGCGTTACCACTCATTTTAAAGAGAATGGTAAGATCTCTTTTCTTGTAAAATTTTGTGACCTAACTCACTCAAATGGTCAAAATCACATTAGTCAATGTTTAGCCTCAAAATGTTGACTTTAATCCCCCAATCAGTTTGGTTTTGCGCACTTTGCCCTTGGCTCTCTAGCTCATACATTTACTCATGCATTTGGGTCTAATGACATACCATAACATACATTTACATCAAAATATCATAGGAAGATATCTCTACAAAGTTAATCACACAATTCATATAATTCAAAAGAAAGGTTCAAGGCCATATAACATTCCATAAAACTCATTATTTCTTCAAGCATTTGCTACCTCCTTGCCCTTTCCTTTTGATGTAGTAGCCCCTAGGGAATTGTTGGAGTATGGGGGTAAGGTTCACAGGAATTTTAGTAGCATAGCATTATATTCAAAATGTCACACAAGCAAGGTATCATATATTATAGGTTTCTAGCTATCACATACTTTAACTTTGATGCACATACCATGGAAAGGAACAATATACTTTCTTATTCATCATATTCAACATTGCATAAACCAAGGCATTTCATGCATGGAGTCAAACACAATGTCACATAACAATCTCATCCATATCATTGCATAGCAATATAGCATAATACGTAACAATAAACACAATGCAGGGCAACATTAAAAATAAATGATAGCTAACTCTTTTAATGCTTATCTCCTTAGCAAAAATCTCCTTCACTTTTGATGCCAAACCTATTGGTAACACAATAGGGCACACACATTATTAAATCATTTATCATAGTAACCCTTAATCCCTTTTTTTACTTGATTTTTGGGTTATTATTTCTAGCTTTGATTTCTTAATTTTCTTGAACCATTTCTATATAATTTTTTATGAAGAATACAAATATCAACTTAGATTTGTGAAAATTCAATTCTTTCCTAATGAAACAAGCTTGGTTGAATTAAAGGGATCAATTTTTGAAATTTTTATTTTTAATTTTAATGCTTCTAAGCTTCCTTTCTTGGTATTTTCTGCACTATTTTATTATTTAAACACATTGGAAGCATCAAATTGAATTGAATCCATCTCTAACCCCTACTTCTATTTTTGGCCAAAATGTTGTGTCACATCCTGAAAATTTCATTTGGACATAAGAAGTTAAAAATTCAAATGAAGGCCAATATATATAGTAGACAGAGGGATAAAATAACTTTTAGTGTAAAACCTTAATAGGGTCCAGGCTAATATTTTTAGAATTATCGGTTTAGAAAGGGGAAAACAGAAAAATTTGAGAAAAATTTCAAAAAATTCTCAAAAAATAATAAAGGTAAATTAGAGATTTTGGAACCTTGATGGAGGCCCCAAAAGTGAAATTGTTGTGAAAACAAGTTATTACAGAATTTCCTGAATACAGAGATTTTTCAGAAAAATAGTAGAAAATTGAAGAAAAATAATTATGTTAAATACGGAAATTTATAAAATTGGTTTTAGGCCTTGAAAGTACATGAATTAATTTTGGAGAATTTATTCTCCCATAGTTTTACTGATAGAGGCCTAATAGAAAAAAATTCAAAATAAATAGTTAAAGGTGAAAAAAATTCAAAAAATTTTTAAATTATATCTTTATATGAAAAAAAGGATTTTTCAGGAAGAGAAATGCATTTTTGGAGGTCTAGAAAAATTATGGAATGTTATAAGTGAATAGTAACTGATAAAACTTCAAAATGGTTTGAGATTATGATTTGGTTTGTGGGCCATTTTTTAGACCATCCTAAACCATAAGTGGGCCCCACATTGTGCTAGGAGAAGGCCCAATTCCATGCAAAATCTGGACCCTTAATTATATTGGAATTTAATCTAATTTTCATACAAATATCTTGGAATATTCTAGGACTTAAACACTTGGCATGATCTGGACCTTTTCAGCTCTTGATGGCAGCCAAGTGCCCCTCTTAGGTGGCAATCATACATTTCCAAATGAGGGGGGAGGTGGCAGATTTGTTAGTCTATAAATACCCCCTAAAATACCCAAAAATAGGTAGAAAATTGGTAAAACAAGGAGAGGTGCTGCCAAGACATTTTCTTGAGCTGAAACCTAAATTGGATAAGTGCATTTAGATAAGAAATCATCAAACTTTAGTCAAGAATTCAACAAGATATGTCTAAGCTTTATTATAATTAAGATCAAAGCTTGTTTTAGTTAGGTATTTGAATTGAAATTCAAAGGGGAAATTCTGTTTAAATTCGGCCAATATGCTTGGACTTTAGGAAAGGATAGAAACCTTAAATATGAAGTGGAATAAGTATGTTTAAGTGGTGTTTGAATTGATTTTTGGAATAAAACGAACTTAGATTTTCTTATGCATCAATTCGGCCAAGTGAAAATGTTGGGGCAAGAGTTTATTTTACCTTGATTTTATGATTTCAGTGAGTTTAAAATATGTTTTTGTGTAGGAAAACACTAAAGGGAAGTGTTTAAAATCATTAGAATAAAAAAATAGAATTTTTTGAACATAGATGCCCCATATTTGGCCAAGACAAATTGAAAGAGCAAGAGTTTGATTTTCATAAATTTGATTAGATATTTAAATTCTACATGAAAAGTTGTGTAGGAATAAACTAACAGGTTATTGAAATT